AAAAAAAAAAAAGAAACCTTCAGCAGCAATTTAAGTTTGTGTGACTTTACTCTCAGAAACACTAAGAGTGGTTATATGGCAGGTAGCTGCCTCTTAGCTGGGAGATGGTAACAAACAGCTGCGAGATCAAAGACCAGCTGGAGTCACCTCTGCAGTTATGATAATAAATAGGGTACAAATGATAACAGTGTGAAACAGAATTGCCATTAGACTTAAAAACAGATGGACAATTTCTCCCAAATCCCTTCAATATTGAAAAGTGCAAATAAACTGTTTTAGCCCCACGTTAAATAAACAGACTTAAGCTCTTCCAGGCAGGGAGCCTCAGGTATGAATTCAAAGAAGAGAAGCAAAACAGGGACCCAGCATCTGGCAGCAGCATCTGACTGGTGCTCATTCCCCTCAGCACATCCTTTTCCTACATGAATGATGAACCCTGACTGAAGAATCACAGGTAGAAAAATGAGACAGTGGGCTACCAAAATAACAGAAAAGGGAAAATATGTGGGATGTGGAAAAGAAAATTGTTCAGAAGAAGAAATACTGGTGATTGTCAGAGTACAGACATCTCACTGCTGCCAACCCATTCCCCAAAGGAGGCAGGGGTGCTGCAGACTCTGAGCACCTAATCCTGCCCCTGAGCCATGACTGAAGAAAGGTCTGTGCTGGACCATGATGGATGACTGACTGTGTGGCATGAAATGTTGCTGAGACAGAAAGCCAAAGCCTTCTTTACTGTCTGTGCATCAAAGCTCTTCTCATTTGCACTTCAGCATAGCAGGATGTAACACCTGGTTTTCTGCCCGGATTTTAACCAGAGCAGCATTTTCTTCCTCTTCAGTATACACAGTGTTTTGCTTTGTGGTGGTATTTCATGCTGCTGAGTGTCCTTAAATGCTTTGTTGTTGTTCTCCCTGATAGAATTCTTGGTTGAGGAAAATAATTTTAGCAAAACCAATATTTTTTTCTATAATATTTTGGTTAAAATTGCTTATCTACCCTTATATTTCTAATACCTATGTCTCAACTTCAGTTCTGAAGCAAGACTTCCAGTAAACTCTGCAGCAAAGCTTCACTACATACAAATCAAATCAGAAGTTTTTATTGATGTGAAATACAACAGAGAGAGCATTTCCCAGACCATATATCCTAATCAAATGGATTTTCCTTTCAAATTTCCAGCATGATTTAGATTTTTCACGTGTTACTCTGCTGCAAAAACTGTTGTCATGCATGACCAAACTGCATTATGCTTTCAAAATGGTCGCTGTGTTGAAAGGAATATGTCAGAAGTAATTCAGCTGCAGATCATTCTCCCTTGTGGGAAGAATTGGGTTTTCGTCAGCAGGACCAATCACCCATCTCTGCAATAAAATAAAAAGCAGCACATTAATGTATTTGGAGGATTTTGAACAACCAGTTCCACTTTATAGTAGCTGTTGGTGGCCTGGTGTTCTTAGACCTGTTATTCCACATTTATTAACCATCAATTTATAGGCCAGATCTTTAGCTGGCTTACATGTGGACTGCTCTGTTGAGATTGCTCCCCCGTATTACACAAGTTGCAAACTGACCTTAATATACTGCTCATTTCCTAATGCTTCCATACTTATAAATAAGGTATTTGGAACAGACAAAGGCACTCTTTAATGCTTTGCTTAGAAAGAAGAACACTGTCTGTTTTGACATGAGTGCATGAGAGGGGCAGAGATTTAGGACAGATAGTCACCAGTGGGAAATACAGCATTTGATTCTCTTGTATCCATGCATAACTGATCTAAGGATTTTAGATTTTTAAACTTAAAGTACTAGTTAGCACTGGCAAAATCTCCCTGACAAAAAGGGATTGAGTTAGAGCAGCAGAAAAAAGACATATTAAATTCCTTTAGGGGTCCTCCCCTGAAAGACAACACCTATTATGGGATACCAACATTGACAAATTAACAAATATCTAGTTGAAGAAGAAGCTTTTGAACCAGAAGGCCTTAGTGCTTGTCTGAGGTCACAGACAGCTGTATCACCCAGCACTCCCAGTGCAGGAATGAGCCACACAGACACCTTACATGAGTCAGTCCTGGATGACTCTGCTTGTGACTTCAGATTAAATTTTCACAGACACACCAGTTAGGACCTGTGGGGCCAATCACTGGTCCCCCTTATCTGAATAGGATTGCAGAGCAGGACCTGATGGAGCAGCCTCGGTGCTGATGAGCCACTAATGATGCTGGCTGTGTGCAGAGGCAACGGAGGAGCTGCCTGCCAGAGGGCTCTGATTTGATTCAAGAAGGTGTTCAGCAGGAATCCTAAGCAACAAGCAAGGGCTGACTGTGCTCCAAGCAAAAGAAAAGGAAGAAAAATTAATGCAGCTGTAATTATTTTGGGTTTTAAAATACAAGTCATTAAATGCAAATTTAGTTATGCCTTTTTTTTTTTTTCCTTCCAAAGAAATCAGTTTTTAAATAAACCACAGTCCTCCCCCCATCACAGTGCTGTTGGATCATTTGTCACAGACTGTGCTGGTCAGCTGGTCCACTTCCAGCCCCTATGCATGCTACTTTACTTCACAGAAAAGGAGCATAACAGTATTTCTGGGCTTTGTACCAGGTCAGTGGTTTGTTAATGCTTCAGCCATGCCAGTATGTGCTGAAATGTTCTGTACCTTCTTTGGAAGAAACCTCATCATAAATTCAATTAGCATGGAAAATGAACCATGGCATAATATTTTATAATCATCTGTAAAGACTCTTTTTGTTTACAAACCAAACACTGGGCTTCTTTGCAGGAGAATGTAAGTGGCACGAGCAAGCACAGATACTTCCACAGCTCCTGTTGCCACTTGCTTTGGAGAGGGCAAGAATGCAGATTCCTTCAGGCTCCCATTTGCTGGGTGATAACAGCACCAATGACAGCAGTGTTGACAAGGCAGGGCCATTTGTCACTCCTTGCCTGACCTCATTCAGAGCTCAGCTAGAGAGAACCTGATGTCACCAGCCCTGTCACCTGCCCACAGGGGCGGCCAGCGCAGGATCTCTGCAGACCCTCCAATGCTCTCCAGAGGGACAGAGCTCTTTCCATTTGCCAGGCACATCAATTTGGGTTGAATCTGGGTCACCCAAGCATGGGTTGCCTCCAGCATCATTTCATCCCACTTCGACCCCACTTAGTCTTCACTTTAGTGGGGTGGGAAGCCCAACCTCCTTGGTTAGCTGAAAGGAACTGAGGTCTCTGTGCTGCTGCTTACATTGTCTTTCCCTTGGCAGCACAAAGAGGTGCACATGAAATGCAGTTTTCAGGGATCTGTGTAAAGTAAATTAAACTAAAGGAGAAAATGCAGGTGGACCTGCAAGTGCCATCAAGGTATGTGGCAATACCTGACCCTTCTCATCATAAAACCCTTTTTTTCTGCTGACTAGAAATTTGTCAGGCTCTGGGAAAGGCAAGAGGAAGTTTGTGGTTCTATTTGTCTCTCCACAACTGAAACTTTTATTTAATTATTTGAAAGAGTTTAAGCAAAGTGGTTTAGCCATTTCCAAGAATTAAACTGGGGGCAGGGGAAAGAGAGAGAAATGTTGTCAAGGCAACAGTAATCCCATTATTTTTTAACTTCTAAGTGCCTGAGTAGGTAACCTTTATCTTCTTTTTATGCCATTTTTATGCATAATCACAATAATGGTGGAGACAATTGTTCTCATCTCTTTTAAGAAAAGAGCATGCCAGGGTAGTAAAGGGACAATAAGACATGCATTTGCAAACAACACAAGTTGGCACCTTCGCATTGTTAGCTGCTGCATCTGCTGCTGCTATTTTGAAAGCAGGCTTTCAGGCCAAAGTACTCTGCTAGCAATGTTTCTTTAAATTGCCCTCCACCCTCCACCCGGACAAGATCAGGACCCGAATTTCCCTGGCCTGAAGTGTAGCTGACAGCCTCCACGTGTTTGGGGCATATATTAGTGTTCAGCAATCATTTCCCTCCAGATTTTATGGCTCATTGTCATTTCTCACACAACAAAATGCTTTAAATGTGGAGAAAGGCTCTGCTTTATGCTTTGAGGAATGTCCCTGGAGAGAGGATTTTAATTTCTGCATGATGGGGGAGACTTAAATCATATTGCATCAGTTACTATTTGTCAGATAAGATGTGTTCTTACTATGAACTGAGCCTACAGCACATTTGTAAAGTACACTAAGTGAAAGGAAAACAACAACAAAAAAGAAAATAAAACCCCTAAAACAATGGGCCTTTCAGGAGTCCTGCTATATTTTCATGTTTTCCTTTCACTCTCCTAGAGCAAGTGAAGTTAGTAAAAATTTCAAGAGTTTCGTTTTAGGTTTGGGTTTTTTTTTTAATTGGAAAAATAGGAGTCTGTCAACGCTGGAAGTACGCACAAGAATGTAGATCAGATATTGTTTTGGGAAAAACAAGTATAGTGGAAAGTGACAGTAGCAATTGAATAGATCATTTTGTGTGTCTACTTAGAAAATATTTTATTTCAATTTTTTTTTACATTTATCTATTACTTTTCTTTGAGTTATTTCAATTTTAATATCATTGCTCTGTAATTTTTGCATTTCCTCACTGCAAAATATGGAGGCAACAATTCCTAGCAGACAGAATACTGAACTACAGCAAATGAAACTTAATTCTATGCAGTGTTTTGTCTCTTAACCTCTGGCCTCTCTATCAAGCCATTTTATTTTTGCTTCTCCATTCCCCAGGCCAAGAAACAGGAATGATGTATGATCTCACTGATTGAGTAAATTGTTATCTATTACAAAGGCATTGTGGAAAACCTGGGGTATACTATTTGTATGTCATATATAAAATATATAATATATATATTTTACACATAACTTATGTATTTTATATATAGGTGTTTACCAGTGCATAAGAAATAGGATAGGCATGAGAAGATACCAGACAAGTTATAGGAGATGTCAATATTATTGATTTTGTCCTTATTCAGATTGAACTGTCTCCAAAAGCAGCACTCTTTCCACTGCAAAGAAGTCTTCCCTGGCTTCTGCCCGAGTTTTGCAGCACCCAGCAGGGTCTGTGTGTTTGACTTGCCCTTGGCATTACCCTGCTGTGCTACCTCCCACATCAGCAGAGCTTGTCACCTTTCTGCTACAGGGAGCTGAGCTCCCATTTCTTTTTCAAGTATGTTCTGACAACCCATGCAGCTTTTTACCTTGCTAATAGATGCGTGGGTACTGAATCTAATCCAGCAATGTACACCAATTAAGTAACTGCGCTTTGAGAACAGATGTGACATTTTAAAAAAATTGCAGCAAAACCAATCCAGCAAAACGTCAGCCAAAACATTAAGAGTGCTATGAGGAATTTCTGAGAATATCAGGGATAATTTTACTATTGCAATAGCAACAAAAACAAAGCCATGACAGGAAGAGGAAAATAAACTTGTTAAATAGCAGCCAAATCAACCAGTGTGAGAAGTTACTGGCTGCAAAGGAGTACGTGTGCATACACCACACCAGCACAGAGCTACAGGATGTTATCAGTACAGTGCAAACCTTCACTCAGCTGTCATTAAACCACAGGCTGTGCTTGTCTGGGGTTGTTAAACTAATTTTGAGATGCATTTCATGGAATCAGCTGTTCTGCTGTATAACTTACACCACCTGCTCTCCACCTGACAGGATAAACTAAGCCGCTTCTTGTCATGTGGCAGGCACTGAAGAAACAAAGCCACACGTGCTTTCTCCTCCTCCCCAGCCCTCTCAAAACCAGGGTGTTTCACTAGTGCGCAGGGAACTTAGACCCCACACCTGAAAATGCTTAAAGGTGTATTGAATTTTACTATAGAATTTCACAGTTTAACCTAGTACAGTGTTTAACCCTGCCTGTAATTCTAAAAATGTCAGGATTCCCACCATGAGGAAACCATGTTCTTCTGCTTTTGAAGGAATAGGAATAGGGTTTCATGGTAACAGATGTACACGTGACTTTTCTTACTAACCATGCATTGATCAAACCCTCTCTTCCAAACAATAATAATAATTAATTGCGCTGCATTCCCAAGTGGTGCAGGCAAGGGTCAACAGAGTTCATACACTTATAAAATGGTCAGTACGAGTTTGCTCAATGCTAGAAAAGCCAACATGGATGCTCTATATCTGTCATTTTAATTACTGCCATAGCACTGGCATGGTGGAGAAATCCACAGCTGTGAAACAGCAGCTGCACTATTTCTACTGTCAGAAGGGTACCGCCTGATTGGTTTTTAGCTCTTCCAGATAGTTTTTTAGCTCTTCCACAGAAAGGAAGAAATACAAAATTTCTTTGCAGAGTGATTTAAGTCTTTTGATAGACACACACATATATACAGTGACTTCTCTTTAATTA